AGCGTCCCGACTCCCTCCCAAGAGCAGCCCCTGGCCCTCAGGCCCGACAGCGACGTACGGAGCACGGGCAGGTGACAGCCCGGCCTCGGTGCTGCCCGATGCTTGGTGCCCGCTCTGCTCTGCTCTCCCGGGGACACTGACTTGAGACTGTCCAGGCCAGCATGGTGTGGGCTCCGTGGCCAAGTCTGAACCCTGGTGACCAAAACACATGTAGGAAATAAGATGAAAATGGGTCTGGTCTCTGTTATGAAACGGTTTTTCCTTCGTGCCCAGTCCAAGCAGGTGTCACTAGAGGCTGCCGTTGACGGGCTCTGAGTCAGCCAGGCCTGTAACACGGGGGTTGCCTTCACCCAGGCCGCTTCCCTTGGGAAGTCAGGTAGCAGCCTCGTTCAGCGCGCGAATACCTGGGGGGCTGCGCCTGCCCAGCGCAAGGAGACGGCCGTCTCCGCAGTGTCTGCGGGGGGAGGAGTGATTACGTGTCTGGAGGGAAGGTTCTCTCTGCTCTTTAATCCTCTTGACCCAGACACTCAAATTAAGAGTGCAGACTCACCACGGAGGCTGAGCCAGCCTCCGCCCGCCTCGTGGGCTGTGGTGCCCGCCCGTGTGGGACGGGGCTCAGACCACAGCCCAACTGGGAGGCCAGTCAGCACCACTGATGTTGGTCCCTGTGCTGCCTTTCGGGGTCACTTCCCAGCCTGGGGGTCCCACCAGGCTCCAGTCCCTGAGTTGGCCCCGCCTCGCTGGGCTTCTCTCAGGCTGAGCATCAGGTGAGGCCGTGCCGTTGCCAGGGCTCCCCTCAGAGCCCAGGAGGTCTGACTCCTCGGTGCTGGGGGTGACTGCACCGTTGCTGGGCATTTCAGGAGCATGTGGGCCGTGAGGCAGAAATGGGAGGGCGTATGGCCTCAGCGGTCCCCGAACCCCCTGATCTGATGCGGTGTGTGTGTTTACACCAAGTGTACCTGCACCCTGTGTTTGTTCTCTACATGCACCTCAAAATTTACGTGGGAGTACTTGGGACCTCTTCTTTAGCAGGCTCTTTTCTCCTCTCCTGCTTATTAAAGTCGGAGCGAACCTTAGTGACCTTTAGTCCAGCTGCCCTCACTTTGTAGAAGGGTAGCACAGACACCGCGCCCCCCCAAAGTAACTCGGTTTGTCCCTGGTCACACAGTGCACCAGCTGGTGGGTAGTGGAGCCAGGAGGAGGACCCAGGCCTCAGCCTCAGCCCGTGGTCATGTCCCACGCCTGCTAGGCTGTCTGTCCATCCCTGTGACCTCTGCCACCACTTCAGTGGGGTGAAAGGCTGAGCAAACGTGCGGAATTGACAGTTTGGGGTCAAGCTCAGTAGGTGGGAAGAGAAGGGACACAAGCCTTCTCCCCCCCCCCCCCCCCCCCCCCCCAGGTGAGGAGGCTTCTCTGTCCCCACGAGCCGAAGCTGATGAACGAAACTAAACATCCAGAGGCCATTAACTGCGATGGGAGCTTTAGCACTTTCTAGCACTATGAAGCAACTTTCCAAAATGCCAAAATTAAGACATGCTCACGGATGCACCTCGTTTAGTCCCACAATAGGTTTAATCAGCCTCAGAGGGGCTGTGGCATTAATCTGATGGACCTGTGAGGCCAGGCTCATGGATGCCCTTTAGACTCTCGCTTGCTGACACATCACTCCTGTGGGTGGGCCCGGTCTCCCCGGGTTCCTGCTGTGTTATCGGCGCCCTGGCAGTTCCGTCCCTTCCTATCTCAGCCTCTCGCGTCGGTAAAAGAATGTGCACGGGAACACCTGGTGACGTTTGTACCTCAGTTTCCACATGTGCTGGTCTCCCAATCAGCCATCATAAATGCCCTGGCCGGTGTGGCAGTGGACAGAGCATCAGCCTGCGGACTGAAGGGTCCCGGGTTCGATTCTGGTCAAGGGCACATGCCCGCTGTTGCGGGCTCCATCCTCAGTAGGGGGCGTGCAGGAGGCAGCCAATCAATGATTCTGTTTCATCACTGATGTTTCTATCTCTCCCTCTCCCTTCCTCTCTGAAATCAATTTAGAAAAAAAATATATATATATTAAAAGTTTTAAAAAGATAAATAAAAATAAATGGCACGGCTAGCATGGAGCGGGGGAAGTTATAAATGGGCCTCTCTCTGCATGGGCCAGTGATTTGACACACTTGAGTCTCCTTGCTGTTGGACCAGCAGGTCATCCCATTTGTTAGCGTGTTTGTAATGTGCTTTGGCCTAACGACCCACAGGTTCAGGGTTTATTCACAATTGTGCGCACACGCGTGCCCAGGCCCGACCTTGAGCTCTCGGGAGGGTAAGGCTGGGAGGTGCACTGTGGTCCTGACTGCACACCGTGGGCCAGAGCCGGGCCTTCCCTCCCACTGCCACGGAGAGGCTGGGTGGGTGTGCGTGCGTGAGCTTCCTGCTGGCCCACAGCGAGGCCCTCCAGGCCTGGGACCCTGGCCGGAACCTACGTGGACTCTCGTCTCAAGAGCACGCTCAGCTCTCTTCCGGCTGGAGGGGCTCTGAGCACCGCCAGGGTGGCTGGGTGGCGTCGGCACCAACCTGGGCGAGCCCCTCTCCCCGCGGGACCCTAGCTGGCTGATGCCCTTGCCTGAGATTAGAGGCCGTGTCTTGGGGCAGTTCTTGTGGGACAGCGTAGGTGCCACTGCACCTGTCTGCTGAGATGATAGTCATAGCAGAGTGTCACACTGTCACCCGGCGGGGTCTAGGCTGCCGGGAACTTGTGCAGGTTCTCGTGTGCCCACACGACATGCTGGGAGCAGGTGCTGAGAGTCCCACGCACGGCGCCCAAGAAGCGCCTGGCGGGCCCGGGGCTCTGCCGCAGCCCCTCACCGGGATGTCTGTGGCCCGACAGTTCCTCCGAGTCACGAAGCAGTACCTCCCGCACGTGGCGCGCCTCTGCCTGATCAGCACCTTCCTGGAGGACGGCGTGCGCATGTGGTTCCAGTGGGGCGAGCAGCGGGACTACATCGACAGCACCTGGGGCTGTGGCTACCTGGTGGCCTCCACCTTCGTGCTCCTCAACCTGCTCGGACAGCTGAGTAAGTGGCTCCCTCGCTGACAGCAGGGGTCAGCCCCGGGGACTGCTGGGGGCTTCCTGAAGGAAGGGGCAGCCCCGTGTCTGCGTTCCCAGAGCAGATGCAGGTGAGCTGGGGCAGTGAGGAGCCGGCAGTGAGCATCCCTGGTGTCTGGAAGGGTAAATCAGGGAAGGAGAAGGGAGAGACGAGGCCTCGCGCAGCTCACGTCGGCCTCGGGCCTCGCTTCTGCTCCTGGTGGCAGCCTCAGCCCTGTACATGCAGGGCCGGACCTTGCACTTCCCGCCTGTCCTGCGGGTGCTGCAGGGCCTGTGATGGTGGTCCCACAGACGGCGTGGGGGTGCCTGCCTGCCCTTCCCCCTTCCACGCCTGGATTTTTGCCTGTGGCAGGTAGTTGGGCTGCTGCTGCACCTGAGGCCAGGTGAGGCAGCAGCCACTGTGGCAGGGGCCCTTCACCCGTCGCCCCTGACCCGCGCCTTCTCCTTCCAGCGGGCTGCATCCTGGTGTTGAGTAGGAACTTCGTGCAGCACGCCTGCTTCGGGCTCTTCGGCATCATCGCGCTGCAGGTAAATGGGGCGGGTGGGCAGGCGGGCGGGGTCTCGCCCAGGAACCACGGCTGCCGGTAACCGGGTGGGGCCTTGCCTTCTTGCTTGGGTTGGAGCAGAGCCTCTCGAAAGGCCTTTCGAGGAGTTGCCCTGGAACTCCTTCCTGAAAAGGGGCTCAGTTTTCCTCAAGGCAAACACAGGAGAAGCGGACGGCCATCCGGGCTGGCCCTTGCCTGGGTTTGCCTTGACCAGGGTGGAAGTCACCAGGCTGGCTGCCGCCAGGACCCCATTCTTGTCATTTCCTTCATTAAGGCTGCCTAGCTACTCGGGTGCGGTCTTTAAAACCCACCTGTGCTCTGGGTCTGTGGTCTCAGGTCCGCCCTGTTCTCCGGGGCACACCAGGGGTGCAGCTCTGGGGCACTGAGCCGAGCTTGGCCTCGGAGCTGTCCTGGAGTCCTGCAGCTGTTTTGTGTATCTTAGGTTTAAAAACTGGCCTCATGCTATCCATTCGGTAGAAAAGCAGGTGCTTGGAAATGCTGACACTCACCTTTTCTCTGCCCTCTGTCCCCTCAGACGATCGCCTACAGCATTTTATGGGACTTGAAGTTTTTGATGAGGTACGTGTGTCTGGTTGGAGGGGTCACCCTACCTCCTCCCATCTAACCTCGATGCTGTAACTGTCCATTGAGTCAACTTCTGGGGTCAAGACTGTGCTCCTTAGACTCTGTGGTGGGTGTTGGCAGAGCCTTCACCCCCACCCGGGGCCCTCAGGACACGTGAGCACGCACTTGCCTCTCCAGACCCAGGTTTCACGAGGGAGAGGAGGGTCCCAGTGGAACCGCTGCTCACAGGAGCCAGCTGCTCAGCAGTGAAGGTTCCGGGCGTGCTCCGGCGACGGCCGCTGTCTAGTGCACAGACACGGATGTGTCTTCAGGCCGAGTCCCGCTTGGTCTGCAGAGAGGGGGCAGGGCCCAGGTCTCCCGGCTGGTCTGGCGGCCCTCGGCCTGGGCCTGAGCGCTGCCTGACGTCTCCCTCAGGAACCTGGCCCTGGGTGGGGGCTTGCTGCTGCTCCTGGCGGAGTCCCGCTCGGAGGGGAAGAGCATGTTCGCGGGCGTCCCCACCATGCGCGAGAGCTCCCCCAAGCAGTACATGCAGCTGGGAGGCCGGGTCCTGCTGGTGCTGATGTTCATGACCCTCCTTCACTTCGACGCCAGCTTCTTCTCCGTGAGTCCTGCTCGCCTCGCCCCTGCCCTGCCCCTGCCCCTGCCCTGCCCCTGCCCTGCCCTGCCCCTGCCCTGGTGTGGACGAAGCAGAGCCCAAGGCCACGAAGGCCGAGGCTTTTGATCCTATTAAAGAACAAACTGTCAGGTTCTTATGTGCCCAGAACCTGCCTCCGAACAAATGAAGTCCAGCCTCGTGGACCTTGCTGGAGGGTCCTGGTGCCAGTCCTCCCAGACTCATTCCTTCCTCACCTTTATCTCATGACCTTTGTGAGCCGGGTGTTGGGCGTGCAGAGTTGAAGAAGGTTCTGGCTTTGTCCCCCTCGAGTTTACAGAGCAGGTCTTTGTTACCGAGCGTGCGCCCTGCCTGGCGAGGTTCCCAGGAACGCCCGGCCATCTGGCGTGGAGGCCCCTGGGCTCCAGCTTGAGCGGCTTGGGAGACCTCGGCCTGCGCTGAGCGCTGCTTCATCTGCCCCAGCCCCCTTCTCATCCCACTGTCACAGCCCCACCTGTCACCATCCCACCGTTACAGCCCCACCTGTCACCATCCCACAGTCACAGTCCCACCTGTCACCATCCCACCGTCACAGCCCCACCTGTCACCATCCCACAGTCACAGCCCCGACCATTAGCGGCCTCCGCACACCCCAGTCCCTTCGCCCCAGCACCTCACCATCCCTTCTTCCTCCCATTTGAGTCTCTTACTGTCCCCTCTGCAGATCCTCCAGAACATCGTGGGCACAGCGCTGATGATTCTAGTGGCCATTGGCTTTAAGACCAAGCTGGCCGCCTTGACTCTTGTCGTCTGGCTGTTCGCCATCAACGTGTATTTCAACGCCTTCTGGACCATCCCCGTCTACAAGCCCATGCACGACTTCCTCAAGTATGACTTCTTCCAGACCATGTCGGTGATCGGCGGCTTGCTGCTGGTGGTGGCTCTGGGCCCCGGGGGCGTCTCCATGGACGAGAAGAAGAAAGAGTGGTAACACCTTCCCTGCCTGCCTAAGCCGTGGCCGGCAAGGATTGGTTCGGGGTCGATCGACAAACTGCCGCCTTCTCGTCCCCTCCCCCCTGCCTGGGTGAGGCACAGATGTGTGAGACCTCTGCAGCCCCGAGAGCGACGGCTGACTCTGCTCTGCACCCACCTGCTGTCTGACCAGCCAGCGGCCGCCTGGCTCCTCCCTCCCCACGGCCAGGCCTTGGCCGCGCGGCGAGAGCAGCCGGGTGGGTTGCGGCCTCTGTCCTGGTTTTGTTCTTTTGTGGGTGGTGGGGGCCTTCAAGCTGTACTCTGAGCAGATACATCTGTGTATCATTCAAAGCAGTCTCCCTCTTATTTTTTTTAAAAGTTTACGTTTTTAGCTAAAACTAAGTGATTGTGGGTGGCCCGGCACGTCAGAGCCACTGGCCGCTCCCTGGTTCAGAAGCGCCCCGCAGCGCCAGGGCGCTGCCTTGCAGTGTCACACTTGCAAGGACAGTGAGAGATTAGAGGAGCAACCCCCAGAGAGCGAGGCAGCATCAGAGGGGCCCTGTTCACGGTGAGTCACTGCTTAGTTTATATGGGGTCATCCCCCCGGAGCTTCCGTGGCTCAGTGGGGATGGATAGTAGAAGCCCTCGCACCCACCCACCCACGCCCACCGCACGTCTGCAGGTTGGCCCGGCCGCCCCAGCCGCCCCAGCTCGCAGACCAGTTACCTCACACTCAACCTTCCGCAGCCTCGCTGAACTGGGCCGCGCCCTGGAGGCTGCCTGGGTCTTCCCTGGCTGAGGGATGACCCCAGGCTGCACGGCCACGGCTTCCGTCTCCCGGGGCTGCTGCTTGCTCAGACGTCTGTTTGCTATGCTGCACACGGCCCAGATTACTTTTTACTGATTTGTGATGCCTTACCGATTGGATCTGACTCCTGTATTTAAAGTTTTCTAACATTGCCTTACACTGTGTTTCTCTTCTTGGGGGTGTGAGCGCTTCCTGCTGTCCTCCGCCAGGCCCATCCCAGCAAAGGCGCCAGGGGAGTTGGGACACGTGTCTCTGCCTCCTGCTGTCCTCACCCCAGATCCTTCGGGGCAGACAGCCTGGCCTCGGGGCTTGGCTCCCTGGTCTTCAGCGAGGTGTGCGGGCCTGAGGGCCAGCCCTGAGCCAGGTGAGGGGAGCCCCGCGCCCGCAGGCTTTGTGGGGAGGAGGCTGCCTCTTGCCTCTCTGGCTCTGCAGCCTGGACCCACCTGACCAAGGGGGTGATGGCGAACCATTTCACCCCCACCCAGGTCCCAGCCAGAGCGGAGGCTCTTCCTGGTGTTAGACAAAGCCAGGCCGAAGGGCGTGTCTATTCCCCGGCACTCTGACGCTCACTACACGGAGGTGTTTCACTTTCTGACTCAACCTGGGCCACGTGGTCTCTTGGTCCACATTCCCTCCCCCTTAACACATCCTGACAGCCCCCGTGAGTGACAGCCCCATCAAGTGGCACCCTCAGCCAAGCTGCGTCTAGTAGGGCACCTCCCTGACTGCTGAGACCTCTGTTGTGTCGACCGCCTGTGATGCGGTGGTCACTCCCGTCCCCGCCTCCCCGCCAGAGCAGGCTAGCGCCTGGGCCCTGTAGACCTATGCCTTTGCGGGAGGAGCGAAAAATAATCTACCAATTGGTTTTGGCAAAACGATTTCTGACAATTTTTTGCGTTATGTGGGAAATAGGTGTCGATCTCACTTTATGCTGTATTTTATATCTTAGTTGTGTTTGGAAACGTTTTGATTTTGGAAACATCAAAATAAACGATGGCATTTGTTGTACAGTGTGACCCTCGGTGCCGTCCAGGTGGGTGGGCCGAGCTAGGCTCTCAGGTGCCACGTGAGGACCACTCAGCCTGTCCACACAGGACTCTCCCCCCAGGGCCCCGGGGGGACGACCCAACCCTGCTCCTGGGGCAGCCAGAGGAGTGGATGGAGGAACCCCAGGACACCCCACCGGCTGGGAGGACGCGGGGTGCAAACCCCAAGGACTCAGGCTGCGCGGTCTCGGGCAAACGTTTATTAACCCGCTTGCTTGGAAGAGCTGATGCGCTTCGGCTTGCGGTGACGGCTTTTGAACTTCTTTGATGAGCCCGACTGCTTCTGTGGCGGGGACAGAGTTCCAGTGAGGTCCCAGGTGAGCGGGTGTCAGTCAGCCTGCCCCGCCCACAGGCGAGGTTTCAGCTGGAAACCCCTAGGTCCACTCTCTGCCCAGTTTCCCTCACAGCTGCCGGCTCATCCAAGGCAGCGCTGCGAACCCCCAAACGCACAGACCTTGACCTCTTCTAGCCCCTTGACCTCCTCTAGCCCCGCCTCTTCCGCACAGGCTCAGGGTGGTGTCTATTGGGCCCTCTCTCGGCTCCTGTGCTGCACTCGACACCTGTCCAGGCAGCCGGGCTCCGGCAGGTGCAGACCCAAAGCTCCCCGCCCCGTCAGAGCAGCCCTGGCTCCTCGATCACATGTGCCATGAGCTTGGGGTGTGACCTGCAGAGGGTGGTCTTATTTTTCTGGGGAAAAGGAAACCTCACTAAGGACACTGCTGCCCTGTTAGCAGCCCGGAGGCACCACTCACCTTCCTGCGCTTGAGGGCCAGCTCCCGGGCCCCTCCCCTCCCCTCTCCGTCCCCAGCGCCCTCTGCTCTCGGGTGCCTTGGTCTCTCGTCTTCATCGGTCAGAAAGTCATCAGCGCTGTCCCTGTGCTCGGCCTCTGCCAGGTCCTTTTTGGTGAACAGCTCGGCTGGAAGGAAGAGGGATCTAGGTTAAGGTCACCACCTGTGCATGGGGCTAAGGGGCACGTGGAGAAGGGAGCGGGCCAGAGACACCTGCTGCTGGAAATGGACAGGACAGCCAGGGGGAGTACGAGGGGGGGGGGTAGGCAGGGAGCACGGTCCTGCTTACGTGGGTACAGGTCTGCCATGCTGTCGTCACTGTCACTCGGGGCCGTGCCGTCACCATCGCTGGACTCGGGCTCCCAGAAGGCTGGTCTCCGGCGGGGTGGCCTGTCACTGTCCATCTGGTCTTCCCTCCTCCTCCTCTTGTGCAGGAGGCAGGCGGGCACATACTCCACGCCCTGCTTCTGACACTCTGCATCTGCAGACAGACCAGCAGAGCACGGCTCTCTCCTCGCCTCCCATTCTCTGAGCCCTGTGCCTCACCCACTAGGCACACATCAGCGGTGGCAGAGAAAGGCCACCAGCTCAGTTCCTACCAGGACAGGAAAGGCCAGCAGGGGTGTGGCCGACAGACAAGATGGCACAGATCTACTGGGCATGAGCACCCGCCTCTGGCCGGGCCCGCCAGGCTGCAGGAGCCCCAGGGCACCTGACCTGGAAACCATGCCAGCCTGTCACCAGGAGGCAAGCCCTCTGCAGGCATGGTGGCTCAGTGGAATCGGCGCCCCCTGTTGACCTTTGGCCGGAGCAAGGGGCAGGAACGAGGCTGGAGTCACTGTCCTCCCTGCACTGAGGACTCACAGGCCCTCCATCAGCACAGGCCTCCCCAGTGCAGTGCAGTGCAGCCCCCGGGGGGTAGGTGGTGACAGGAGCCTGGCTCTCACTTCCCCCAACTCCTGTCACCATCCATGGGGTGGACGAGCCCTGCTGGGGTCATTGCCCACTTCTAACCACATCCAGGACCTGATCCCCTCCATCTCTGCCACCCACTCCAGGCTCGCATGACCTGAACCCCCACAGGGCATCTCCTCGGCCCCCTTGGCCAGGCGCCCTCGCCCCATGCAATAGCCTCCCCATGCTCTCTCCACCCAGCCGTTCAGGGTTCAGCATCGTAGTGACTCGCTCACTGATGGGGAACCAGCCCAACCCCCAGCTCCTCCTGCCCCTGGGCAGCAGCTGCCCACGACCAGAGGACCGAGCCCTTCCCGCGCCTGCGTAGGCTTTTTGGGGCCAGAGACGGGTGGGAAGCGAGCCTCCTCTTGCCCTCAGGGGAGGGCAGCCTCACGCTGCACGGGAAGCTGGAGAGCCTCCTCCTGTCTTCCCATCGATCCCACCTGACTGCCCTGCCCGGCCCTCCTGGCCCTCCTTCCCCGCCTCCGGCTGCGGCCCCTGCCCCCTCCAGCCTGGCTGTCCCCCCCTCGCCACCCAGCTGCCTGGTCTCCCCTTGGCTGACACCTGATAAGAGTCCACCCGTTCCTCTCTGCCCGACACCTGGTTCCTCCTCACCTTCCCAGGGCGCCTTGGTACCCAGGCCCCACCCTGTCCCTTCTCAACTGGCTCCGTGGATGCAAATGCCACGCCTGTGTCAGTGATTTGCATCTCCTGAGTGCTGGTCCCTGCCACACCTCCCCCTGAAAGTGCTCCAGTTTCACTTTCAACTTCCCCCAAAGCCTATTCAGACCCCACTCTCCTAACTTCACCTACCGGAACGTGGGAGCTTGGGAATCGGTTTATTCCTGCCCCTCACTCCTCATCTAGCAACCCCACCCCCAAGTTAAAACCTGTCCACGGCGTTCCATCCTCCCTGCTCACACCTGGTGACCCAAGGGGAACCCCGCCACCTCTCCATTCACCTGGATGACTGCAGGCACCCACTCCCCTTCCACTCCTCGCCTCCCCTCTGCTCCTCAGAGGAACAGGGATGGAGACGCAGGGGTCACGCCGGTCCCTGCTTTAACCCTCTCAGTGCATCCGGCTGCACGTGCTCCTGACCACGGCCTCCAAGACCCTCTGTGCTCTCGCCCCTACCCACCTTTCTCACCCTACGGTGCGTGATGGCACAACGAAGGCAGGTCCTTCGGGGCCTCCCACGCCCAGCCTTGGACCTGGCCCAGATCCTGTCCTCTTCCCGCTCCGCATGCCCCTCAGTCTCGGCCTCCTGAGTCAGGCCGGCCCTCCTGGCTGCCAGCACCCACCCCGCCCTCACAGCCCTCAGCACCACCTGCCATCACAGCGGCAGGTCTTCCAACAACGTCGCTTCGCTGTAACATGGATGAGATGCCGCAGGAACTTAACTCCAGTTTAGATCAATTGAACCACCTGAGTGAGGACGCACTGTTCTGGGAGGCGGCTTCTTGCTTTGCACCCTTCTCAGTTTAGATCAATTGAACCTGCCGAGGACGATGAGTGAGGACGTACTGTTCTGGGAGGCGGCTTCTTGCTTTGCACCCTTCTTCAGGGTGCGGGGCAATCCACCAAGCACTGCCACGGAATGGCCCAGACCTGTGGTCGGCAAACTGCGGCTCGCAAGCCACATGTGGCTCTTTGGCCCCTTGAGTGTGGCTCTTCCTAAGCCTTAGGAGTACCCTAATTAAGTTAACACATTTCGTACCGCATAGAAATCTCTAAGACATACGCCAGGGACCGCACGTTTTTGGGCAAACTGCACGTTATTTAAGTCATCGTAACTACAGATCATAATGCACTTTAGGTGTTGTTTTTCATTAATTATAACATTTTTATTTACAAAAACAATTAAACAATTAAAGTTCCTAGTACTTTTTTAACGTATGGTACTGCGTACAACATTTTCTAAAAGGGCCAGGAACTTGAAGATGAAGACTATTCGAATGGCCAAAATACAATGTAACTGCAATGCTTATGGGTTCATGCAATTATATAGTTTTTCGTAGATCGACCTGCACGGTTTCCACCAATGAGATCGCTTCATTCGATGTGGACAAGACAGTGTGGTGACATCTAAGGTCCATAACAGATGGCGCTCGAAACACGAGAAAGCTCGTGAGCAGTACGAAAGGTGTTAATAACAATGTACCTACCTATGTAGTTTAAGTTTAAAAAATTTGGCTCTCAAAAGAAATTTCAATCGTTGTACTGTTGATATTTGGCTCTGTTGACTAATGAGTTTGCCGACCACTGGCCCAGACCACTTCTGCCCTCGAGGGTGCTCATCCTGGGGAGGGCAGGCATGCCCCCAGGTTCCGTGACCCGGGCAGCTGTGTCCCCCCCCCCCACACACACACACACTTACATTTGCACAGAGCTCTCTGGTAGCGCCGGCCCTGCGTGTGCCGCAGCACGTGCTCCGGGGCCTTGTTGATGTGCCGCAGGGTGAGCTTGCAGAAGAGCTGGTGCCTACGGGGCAGAGGGAGCTGTTTGCAGGGACAGTTCACCAGCAAGAGTCAGACCTGCTCTCCAGCCTCAGATCACCCCAGAGGCTGCCTGCGGAGGGGGCATCTAGGGTGTGGTCTGGGTATCCCAGTTCTTACAAGCTCCTGAGCTGGTCCACCCCGCCGGGCGGAGAGCCGCGGTCCTTGGGACCTGGCCTCGCCCTTTGCTTGGCGTGTGGACTGGCCAGCCCCCCGATTGCTCTGCTGTGAGAATGCACGCGGGGGACTCAGCGGTCAAGTTCATGAACGAGTGCCCACCAGGCCATCGCCGCTTCCTCGTCGCTATTTCTGTCAACCACACGCCCTCGGCTAAATCAAAGTTCTCCTTTAAAGCACGGATGTGAGCCTGGCCTCGGCCAGAACCTCAGGGGACCAACCCCCAGCGCTCGCTGTCCCCTAGGAAGCAGACAGGCCCAGGTTTACACAAAAGCAAGCGAGCTCAGCAGGGGCGGGCCTCGCCTGGACTCGCAGGTGACTCCCAGCTCCCGGCTCCCGGGCAGCCCGGCCCCCAGCTCCTAGGCAGG